GATCCCAGCTGGGCATTGTTTCAGATAAGTAATGAGGATATCTGCTCTCACATACAACATATCCTCTCCCTTCATGCCCCTAGCCACTCCATTGCTTTAATTTTGAACACCCTCTCATCTTGAGAGCTGCCCCTTTATAATATAGCCATAGTTCATAGCTGTGTCCTGGGAAGGCCAAGAGGAAAATAATGAGATCTAGGTTCCTGCTGAAATCATATCTCAACCTAGGCCAGCAGCACTGAGTCTCAACAGTCCAGGCCCAGAGATGCTGTGAGATGCATTCATTCACTGGGGGGACCATGGCAGTGCTGTTCTGTGCTGGACTACATACAAGCGGGAAGAATCCCTATTAACAGGCATCCTCCTGGACCTGCCCCAGGGGTCTTTGTGGCTGACCCCTAATGACCACTCTGGCTGTGTCCCCAGAAGCTGGTGCTGTGGCCCAGCCCGGTGGATGGCACTTGAGGCCTTTAACAAACTTTCATCAACCCACCCAGAGTCACAATGCTGAAATGACATGGGGCTGTGCCTATGAAGTATTAAGTGCACAAAAAAGGATTTATGAAGACAGGTTTTGGAGCACACATTTTTGCACTTTACTAAACAATCTGGTTAGCATATGAACCAGTTTGGAGGGAGCTAATAAAATTTCTGTTTACTTTTCTGAAGACCACCCATTTTTAATGCTGAATGGCTAGCATTTTTAAATTCAAGCTTGATTTGGTTAGGTGACATAGATTCAGATACAGGGAGCTGGCACCGTGGCTCGTGCCTGTAAATTCAACAGCTCTGGGAGGCTGAGGCAGGAGCATCACTTGAGGCCAGGAGTTTGAGACCACCCTGGACAACAAGACCTGTCTGTACAAAAAATGTAAAATAAAAAAATTTAGCCACACATGGAGGCACACACCTATAGTCTCAACTACTTAGGAGGCTGAGATAGAAGGCAAATAACTTGAGCCCAGAGGTTCAAAGATGCAGTGAGCTATGATCACACCATTGAGCTCTAGCCTGAGTGACGAAGCAAGACCTTGCCTCTAAAAAAAATAACTAATTAAAAAATTTTTAATAAAAAATAAAATACAGGGCACTCTTAACTTGGCCAGCCCTATGACCCTGACTAAAATCATTGTGCTTGGCTGGGCACGGTGGCTCACACCTGTAATCCCAGCACTTGGGGAGGCCAAGGCTGGCAGATCACCTGAGGTCAGGAGTGCAAGACCAGCCTGACCAACAAAGTGAAACCCCATCTCTACTAAAAATATAAAAAGTAGTCAGGTATGGTGGCATTCACCTGTAGTCCCAGCTACTCGGGAGGCTGAGGCAGGAGAATCACGGAAGGCAGAAGTTGCAGTGAGCCAAGATCGTGCCACCACTCCAGCCTGGGTGACAGAGAGAGAGAGACTCCGTCTCAAAATAAATGAATTAGTTAATTAAATCATTGTATCTCTGCGAATAAGTGTGACACCTATAAAGTGGGGCAACATGGCCCCCTCCAGGCCACCCCGTCCATCCCTTTGGCTAGGGTCAAAGGAGATCATGCACGGACCAGCCCTGCACACCGCCAGGCTCCACTCCGTAAGAACAAAGGCACTTCATGCTCCCATGGGTGCCAGGGACCAAAATGACATCAGCTCTCCTTTTGCTTTGGCACAGAAACTGCTTTCCCAAACAGACGGCGGCGCAGGTGACCCTCAAAGCCATCTCGGCCCACTTTGACGACTCGAGCGCGTCCTCGCTGAAGAACGTGTACTTCCTGCTCTTTGACAGTGAGACCATCGGCATCTACGTGCAGGAGATGGCCAAGCTCGACGCCAAGTAGCCACTGCACTTTCCAGCAGGGATCGGAGGCACCCTGGGTCCCAACAGTGGGGTTTTGCTTTTTAAAAGGAGAGAGGATGGGTGACGGCGGGGGAGTAGAGGGCGGGGCAGGTCCCGCCAGCGCAGAGGGCCCTCTGCCCTTCACACTCTCCTCCAAAAGAGCCTCCATCCATAAGGAAGCAGGTCTCCGCGAGGAGTTTCTGTCCATGTGTTTTTCTCCTGTTGTTTTAGAACTTTTTTAAAAAAACAGACCTCGTTTTAGATTTATAGCATTGACTTTTACACACACTCACACAAGAAAAAATCCTTTCAAAATTCTTAAATCTTCTGTTCCTCCTTTTTCCAAGGGAAGAGGGCATAAAAGTGACCTGGGCTCTATTGGTGTGCGTGTTCCATGGCAGAGAGAAGAAAATGGGAAAGATCTCACTGGTGCTTTTCTCTTTTGTTTTAGTGCCCCCACCCCCACCCCTGTAATATCTGTAACTACTCCTAAAAAGATTTTGCTTCAGGCTTTTTTTGGTTTCATTTTGTTTTTTAAAGAAAAAGAAAATGAAAGGAAAAAATAAAAGATCCAGTGTCTTTCTTACAACATATTCTTTTATTGCAACATTTTCCTCCATTTGGAAAACTGTGTTCCCACGCGTAGGTCCCTCTAGAATATTCTAAGTCAAGAGAACAAGCCCTGTCACTCACATGCCAGGATTCCCACCTCACTGGGCCCCAGGTCAGATAGCCCCATAGCCCCAGGCTGCAGGTCCTGCCTCCGGGAAGATGGGCCTCCCTTTGTGGTCCATAAAGACAGATCCTTGGACGAAGCTGCCAGGGAACAACCATCCTCTGAGAGAGGCACACAACGCACTTAGGCCTGGACAACAGCCCCTACGGGATGGGCTGAGAACCCCAGGGAGGCTGGTTTCCCAAGGACTCTGTCCTAGTACCCAGAGGCCACCATCAAAAGGGAGCAGGGAGGGGCAGGGTGGGGAGGTGGGAACTGAATCTATTCAGATGACCTCACCAATCACTTCTGCTATGCAGATTTCACCTAGGCCATCCAAGAGGGGCTCCTCTGGATTGGAAGATCTCTCCCAAATAGAGGAGTCATTTATATACCATAACATAGTTGGTGGCAGACGTTAGTGCCCGGCTGGGCCTCCAGACAAGTGACGCTGGGATTGGTGAGGAAACCAGAAGCACAAAACGACAAAATCCCTCAGGGGCCCTCTCCCTGTCCCCAGCATCAGCTGGAGTTTTGTCACTTAAAACTCTGCCCATGAGTAACCTAGAAATACACTGAGGGTCACCCGCAGAACCACCTTCTGTTCACTGATGGGTAAGCAGATGGCACCCACAAAGAGTCACATGACCTGCCCTTCCCTAAACACCTCCAGTGGCTGGCAACCAGGCTGCAGCCTCAACCCTGCTAACTGTGTAAAAACACATTCTGTCAGGGTGGCATAACCAGAAGGGAACCTCTGTCTAGCTCTTTCTTCTTAAATGTAACCTATGGCATGGAGTTAGGATCTAAAAGTGGAAATGTGATGGCCATAGTGGCTCAGGCCTGTAATCCCAGCACTTTGGGAGGCCGAGATCAGTAGATCACCTGAAGTCAGGAGTTCGAGACCAGTCTGGTCAACACAGTGAAACCTCATCTCTACTAAAAAAATACAAAAATTAGCCAGGCGTGTGCCTGTAGTCCCAGCTACTCAGGAGGTTGAGGCAGGAGAATCATGTAAACCCGGGAGGCGGAGGTTGTAGTGAGCCAAGATCATCCCACTGGACTCCAGCCTGGGTGACAGAGCAAGACTCTGTCTCAAAAATAAATAAATAATAGTCTGTCTCAAAAATAAACAAACAAACAAACAAAAGTGGAAATGTAGGGAGGCCATGAGGCTTAAGAAGTATGGGGAATATGCAGCAGTTAGGGAGTTGAAAACGAGGCTCCTGTGAACTCTTCCTGGTTGTTGCAGAATGTATGGGCTCCCCCACTGTGTGACAGCAGAGGTTTGGGGTGCAGGGCGTCTCTCCACCTCAGGTCCTTCCTTTGTTCTGAATGTGCAGCTCTCTTTCCTGCTGTCACAGACAGACACTGGCTACCAGAGCCCAGCTCTCTGCCCTGCTCTGAGAGCTCTAAATGACACACGTCATGACCACAAACACGTGCACACACGTGCACATGCATGCACAGCCCAGAGGAGCCAGGTACTGAGTGAAGACGAGCTGTGGCCTCCCCAGCACCATGCAGCCAGCACACATGAGCCACTCGGCGGGTACCGCTGCAAGCACACCTTCGAAACCCAGAAAGAATCCCCTAAGGGGGAATTTGTTTAATGCCTCTTTCTCTCCCATTTTTGTTTTATACAAGTTGCATTTCTGGCCAGCACATCATTGGCATCTTATTCCAGAAGAAAAGCATTAGTTCTAGCACTTGCCAGGCGGGTGCCATGCGCCCAGCAGTCCGTTCACCCACCTACTGCAGTAGCTCGCCTCCCGCCCGGCCTCCCCATCAGGGTGGAGACTGCTTCATGGTTTTCCAGCTCGTAGAGATGAACAGGTCCCGGCTCTTGGCCAGCCGAACCATGAGCCGGCCCACATAGAAGCCACTGATCTGGCCCACGCCATCATTTCTCCCCATGGACAGGAGGAACGTCAGTGCACCTGCGAGCAGAGACACAGAAACAACCAGAACTTCACACTGAACCTCCTGGGGCTGCACCTCCCAGAGCGCCAATCCTTCCTGAGGCCTTCAGACTCAGGGCCAGGAAATGTGAAATCACTTGAGGAAGGTGGGTAAGGCCCTGATTTATTTTTAAAGAGCTCTAGAGGGATGTTTCCATCACCAGGTTGGAGAACCTGTTCTAATGGCCAGGTATCTGATAGCCCAAAAAGGCTTCCCCGTGTCTAACCCAAAACTCTCTTAAAAGTGCCAAGCACATGGGGCCTCTCTTACCTGGCTTGTAGGCCTGGAGAGGTCGTTGCTTCACAGAGTTGACGATGTTGGCCACGGCGATGTTGGCGTGGAGGCCAGCAAGATAGGCCATCTTGGGCGTTCTCAGGTCGGCACAGTCACCGATGGCATAGACGTTGCTGTGACCCTCCACCTGGAGGTGCTCGTTCACTCTCAGAGCACCACTGCTGGCCAGTCTGTTCTCTGCCAGGAGAGATGACACCAAAACCAAGGCATTGAGCTGCTGTGGTAAGTGGCCACCAGGAGACGGTGAGGGTGAGCTCTAAGCATTGGTCAATAGGTGCTGGTCAGGTCACCCTCCTGAGGCATGACCATCCCCTGGAGGTGCCTGCCCTAGAGGCCACCCTCCCAGCTAATTTGTTCCCGCCTGAAGTCTCCTCCTCACAGAGGCAAGGTTGCTGATGCCAGGGTGGAAATGGGTCAACACAATGTACATAACTCTGTGCAAGTTATAATGATTTGCTGAGTCTTGAATTTACTTTTGAATGCAGGTGAGATTTAAAAAATGAATGCAAGCCAGGTATGGTGGCTCACACCTATAATCCCAGGTCTTTGGGAGGCCAAGGCAGGTGGATCACTTGAGGCCAGGAGCTCAAAACCAGCCTGGCCAACTCGATGAAACCCCGTCTCTATTAAAAATACAAAAATTAGCTGGACTTGGTGGAGTACAGCTGTAATCCCCGATATTCAGGAAACTGAGGCACGAGAGTTGCTTGAACCCAGGAGGTGGAGGTTGCAGTGAGCCAAGATCATGCCACTGCACTCCAGCCTGGATGACAGAGCCAGACTCTGTCTCAAAAAATAAAAAACAAAACTGAAGCATTAAAAATAAATGCAGAGCTTTAATAAATGACAAACTGCTTTTCTAAAGGGACTTTTTAAAAACTTGTATTTGAAAACACAACATTAAGACAATTAGGTATTAATTTCTGGGATCTCTGTCCATTATAAGCCCTCAACCCCATTGCTACACAGGCCTAGACCGGCTTTCTTTTCTTGGGATTGGATCATTACTTCCTGCTGGATACAAAGCAGGAGCTCCTTGTCAGGGAAGGGCATTTGAGAGTAAATGACGGGAACCTGAGGACACAAAGCAACCACTGGGCCTGGCCACTGAGTCTCCCACTCACAAATAGAGGCTTAAACACACATCAGTCCACCTCTGCCACCTCCAGCCTGCTAAATACACAAATACTGAGCTTTAAGAAATGAGGCCATGTTATCAACCCCACTCCCCAATCAATCCAAGCTCAAGAGACTAAATGTTTGGATCTGGATTTGGGGGCAGCGGCACACCTGCCAAGAGAGGAAGGCCTGACCCTGAATTTCCACTGTACCCAGCTGACGGGGAAAGAAACAGAACACCAACCTTGCTCATCTCTCTGGAGCCCACTGCCACCTCTTACCACTAGGGGGCAGTCCTGATTTCGGAAGATTCTGGTCACCTTGGCCACCTGGAGCCGAGACATTGTCACAGCTGAGAGCTCAGCAAGGGTAGACCCTCACTGAATTTAAAGTCTGAGCTGCTGGGAAGAAAGGGGGTAGGCAGTAAGATGTGGACTCCTAGGGGCAAGCACTACAGGGAATTCAGAGTGTGCTGGAGAGCAAGGAGGCACCGGGGAGGTCCAGCTGGGCACCTACTCACCAAACGCACTGCGGTAGGCGGAGCTGTTGATCTTGATGCCAGTGCAGAGAATCACCAGGTTGGTGGCCACCTCTGTGCCTTTGTCTGTCTGCACTTTGATGTACTCTCGATACTCATTGAGAGGCAGCTCCTCCAGATTGTTCACCCGCTCACCTAGAAGGGGGTTCCATGACCAGGAGGCTGGTGGGGACAGGCACCCCATTGAGCCTGGGCCTTGAGCCAAGGCTGACCCTGGGGAGGGCCTGGACCTCTGGGGCCCAACTGGGCAATGGCTCCACCCCGTCTTCCCACCCTGCCACTCCCTCAGTCCACTCTATGCCCCACAAAGCTGAACTGGACATCTGGCCCGAGGGGTCCAGCTGGAGAAAGGTTCCAAGAAGCCCCTGGAGAGAAGCAAGGCTGTTTCCCAAGAAGTTTGGGAAATGCTATTCAATGGGAGACCTCAGACATGCCTCTCTGAGTGCCAGCCATGCCATCCTAACCAGGCAGGATGAGCACTCCAAGTGCACCATGACAAAGGGGAAAATCAGAGAAAGAGGGGCCAGCTCACTGCACTGACTGCCTAAGGTGACAGTGACGGCAGCACTCCACAGCGAGGTACCCTGAGGAGGCTGAGGCAGCCGTGCCTCTTCACAGGGCAGACGCCTCACCCTCCTGCACACCTCGAGGAGGCTAGGGCCCCATGCAATGAAGTGAGTGTGGAGGCCACAGCACTGAAAGAGAACCGTGCACTCTCCAGCATGTGCTGAGTGTGTCTCATCCCCTCCTCTGCACAAAAGCAACACTGCTCACCACTCTCAAAACATAAACCAATAAGCCTATTCCCTCAACCACAGAGACTTCATATTTGGGGCAAATTCTTCAGATGCACTTAAGAAAATCATTCAGCAGACAGGCATCCCACCATCTGCACTGCATCCAAACCAATAACAATGACAATGAAATCCTTTAAGTACCAGGCCTTCCCAGCGACAGGCACAACTTCCAGCTGGACAAAGCTCAGGTGGGCTTTGATGCTCAAGGCCACTTCTGAGCGCTCCATGCTCTACCCCAGGACACAGTGGAAAAAAGAGCCTGGGGTGGACCGTAGCCACCCTCCTGCTGGAGGCAGGACCAAGCCTCCAAGCCACAAGTCACCAGGCAGGGCGGGGCAGGGAGGGAGGTGAGTGTGCACATACTCAGCAGCAGCTGCACGCCCTTCCGGAGGAGGATCTCCTTCACTTCCTGCCGGACGGAGGGCAGGAGCTCCTTGTCGGCCAGGGGCACTTGGGAGTGAATCAGAGTGACCTGGGGACAAAACGACCACAGGGCCTGAGAAGGAGCCCCCGAGCCTTCAAACACAAACACTGCACGAATGTCCACTTCCACTCCTACCTCCAGGTTACAGATGAGGAAACTGAGGCTCCAGAGAAGTAATCTGTCCAATGCCAGAACCAATTAGTGGTGAGCTGGGCTTAGGCCCCATGTTCAAGTCTAGGACTCTTTCAGTACCCTCCTGCCATGCCCAGGCCAGAGGACTACCAATATGCCAATGTGTCATAACCTACACCTGAGCTAGTGCCACCTGGAAAAACATCCTTGGGCATTTATAATTATGCAAGCATGGACATTCTAACAGTCAATGTTTAATGTCAACATTAAAGCTGGTTTAAAATTAGTGCTTCCAGGCATGTCTACTTGCTGTCTGGGACAACACAGGGAGGCGTCCCAGGCACCTCATGTTGCAGCCATGTTCAAAGACGGATTTGATATCAAATTGCTGGGCTGAAATCCCATCTGTGATACTCACTTGGAAACCTCCCAAAGGCTCACTAACATGGGCACAATAGCCCCCACTCATAGGAATTATGTAATGATGAGCAAAAAAACATGTATAAAGCATGTAACCCCGCACATATTAGGTCCTTAATAAAGGGTGGCTGCTACTGCCCTTACTGTCTACTAATCCTAAACATGCGGATATTTTACTGAGTTACTTGAACTTATTTACTACTTCAGACTGGTTGGACTGCTGTGAAATAAAAAGAAACGTACATCAGGTCCCCCAGATCCTGATGAAGAGCTCTTAAACCCCTTGTAAACTGGGGTTCTAAGAATCATTTGTTCTAATATTTGGTCCTCGATGCCGGTTCTTGACACAGAGTGCCTGAGATCTTGGTAATGTCCTGAGTGATGGTGGGTCTGACACAGAGCTCCTAACTTCTTGGATGTTCCTGGGTGATGGGAGCATCTTTTGTTCTGATGAAGCTACTCCTGATAGGCTCTTGGATGATCGCTGGTCACCACAGAGACCAAGCCAGGCTTAGAAGCCTGGAACTTTCAGCCCCAGGGACAAGAGGGACTGGAGATTGAGTTTATAATCAAACTTGCCTACCTGATGAAGCCTCCATAAAAATCCCTAAAGCTTGGGGTTCAGAGACCTTTCAGGTTGGTGAACATGCCAGGAGAGTGCTGCACCCCAACTCCACGGGGACAGAAGCCGCTGTGCTCAGGACCCTTCTAGACCATGCCCTATGCACCTCTTCATCTGAATATTCATTTTTAAAACATCCTTTGTGGCCAGGCACAGTGGCTCACACCTGTAATCCCAGCACTTTGGGAGGCCGAGGCGGGCACATCACCTCAAGTCAGGAGTTCCAGACCAGCCTGGCCAACACAGTGAAACCTTGTCTCTACTAAAAATACAAAAAAAATTAGCTGGACATGGTGGTGCGTGCCTATAGTCCCAGCTTCTCAGGGAAGCTAGGCAGGAGAATTGCTTGAACTGAGGAGGCAGAGATTGCAGTGAGCCAAGATTACACCACTGCACTCCAGCCTGGGCAACAGAGGGAGACTCCATCTCAAAAAAAAAAAAAAAAAGAATCCTTTATAACAAATCAGCAACAGTAAATAAACTGTCTTCCTGGCTTCTACCAGCTGCTCTAGCAAATTATTTAACCCAAGGAGAGGGTCATGAGAATCTCCATCTTGTACCCAAGACAGAAACGTGGGTAAGCTGGAGACCTATGGACTTGCAACTGGTGTCTGAAGCCAGGGCAGGACCGTGGGACTGAGCCCTTGACCTGTGGAGTCTGCACTGACGCCAGGTAGTGTCAGAATTGAACTGTAGGACCCCCAGCTGGTGTCAGAGAATTGATCAGTAGAGGCAAAAACCCACACATCTCATCCCAGTGTGGAGTGAGTAGGGAGAAAAACAGTTTGGTTTTTCCCTATAGAACCCTCATAAATCAAAACAAATGAATTGTAACTATATCAACCACTCATTGTAATTTCCAACAATTTGTCAGAGAACAGCCATATAATTAAATTATCCTATATTGATTTTTCTTTTCAAAACCAACCTGTCTTTCCCTGAGGAAAAAAGAACCATTCACAGGCCCCATGTGGCTCTCAGAAGCTGATCTGGCTTCAATTGCCAGCCAGCTCTCGCCTAGAGGACCTGCAATGATGCTCATCACTCAGCCCTTGCCAAGCCGGGACAGGGTGCCAGGATTCCCTCTTTCCCTCTAGGTTGTCAGGTAGGATCTCTGTCCTTTGAGTAGGAGAACGCAACAGGGCAGGCTAATGCCCCCTCCCCATTCCCACCCATGGGCAGAGGGCAGTCTGTTCAGCCATTCCCCAGCGTGGGCAGAGAGGGGGCTGTGCTGCTGGCTCTCCACCAGCATGGGGCTGCTCAGAGCAGGAGCTACCATATCAGGCAGAGACCAAAGCAACAGTTGAAGGTGTCTTTGTCCAACCTGGTGGTCAGCAAGAAGAGGTAACCAAATACACATTTACATCACAAAGGCCTGAATTCTTAAGGCAACACAAAAATTCGGCTTTTGCAAGGTATCAACCCTGGGCTTGATCCTCCGGGTTGAGCAGAGGGTGGGACCTCTCCTTGAGAGAGGACACATCCTGAGCAGCTCTGTAAGGTCAGGGGCTGCAGTATCCCAGCTCTGAAGAAAAAATCTCCCATAGAATAGCACCTTGACACAAGACAGAAATACATACTCCCAGTTTAGGTGAGTAGAGCTCCAGCCTTCTCTGCCCTGAGCAAATTCCTGATGTTCCTAAGATAATGCAGAAAAAAGCCAACCACTTAGAGTTCCAAGGCAAGGCAGCCTCCCCCACCTCTTTCTCAGGATATTCTGTTTTAATCTCTGCTGCCATCTCCACTCCAGCCGAGCCTCCTCCCACCACCACGATGAACCGTGAGCGCTGGACCTGGAGAAGAGGATATGTGAAACAGAGGGCCATATGAAACACACCTGCACATCTATCCCTGTCTGCTGGTTCAGCCTGTGGTGTGGCTCCCTGAGCCAAAGGAGGGCAGAGAACCCTTTCCACGTTTTGGGTTCAAATGCGCTTCCTCCTACCTACCTTGCAGGATTGCTGTGGAAACTGACTGAGATGGTGGATCAAAGACTGCTCTACAAACACAGAGCCTCGTGCAAACCGGAGCGGTGGGGACCCGTGAAAAGCCCCGGGAGAGGCAAGTCAGAAACATAACAAGGGCAGCATAAGCAGTTCTGGGGTGCTCACATCGTGGCTCCAGCAGCAAGTTCAAGGTCTCTTCCCAGGCCAGTCTCTTCCTAGTGACTCTCCATCTCTATGGCTATAGCCAGCAGCTCTGAACACCCTCGTGGCCTCCTGGCTGCGGGCCTAGGCATCCCCACAGCTGTCCTCCCATCTGCCTACACTGCCCCAGGCCTTCGGCGCATAGCTCACCTGCCTCACCATGTCCTCATAGGCCTGGATAGCAGCCTGCTGGCTGGAAACTTCGTTAACCTTGCCCGGGAAGGGCCCAGTGCTGCCCGTGGCCAGGATAAGATGCGAGAAGGGCAGGGCCTGAGAGAGACCAAAAAAAAAACAACCAAAAAAAAAAAAGATGAGGGTAGGGCAGGGCAGGGCAGGCCTAGGCCTCTACATCCTACTCCTGGCCTGCCAACCGGGCACACCAGGTGAAAAGGCCCCTCTAGGAACCCAAGGCAGCCCCACTGGGAGGGGGCAAAACCACCACACTGGTCAGCTCAAAGGATGGCACGAGAACCTGGGGAAAGACCTCAGGAAGCAGAGTTTACTTCCTGCCTGGAGAACCCTGCTAATGTTGCTCAGGCTGGAAGGCAGTGGCTGTTCACAGGTGTAATCCTGCTACTGATCAGTCTTTCCCTTTCTTCTCTTTCTGGCGGAGGCAGGAGGAGGTTTCTTTTAAAACACCTGGGAGGTCCTGAGCTAACTCCAGCAGGCAGTGTCTGATCCTGTGGCCCTGCCTCCTGCCTTCGGGCTGCCCCTCCCACTGCCATGCTAGGTGGCTCTGATGGCCCGCAGGACTTAGCTCAGAACCTCCCAGGTGTTTTAAAAGAACACTTCTCCTGCCTCCACCAGAAAGAGAAGAAAGGGAAAGAAAGAAAGACTGATCAGTAGCAGGATCACACCTGTGAACAGCCACTGCCTTCCAGCCTGAGCAACATTAGCAAGACCACATCTTAAAAATTAAAAATAAAAAAATTGTTAGGCCAGGTGTGGTGGCTCACAGCTGCAATCCCAGCACTTTTGGAGGCCAAGGCAGGTGGATCATCTGAGGTCAGGAGTTCAAGACCCTCCCCCACCAACACGGTGAAACCCAGTCTCTACTAAAAATAAAAAAAATTAGCCAGGCTTGGTGACGGGTTACTATAGTCCAACTACTCGGGAGGTTGAAGCAGGAGAATCGCTTAAACCCGGGAGGCCGAGGTTGCAGTGAGTCAAGATTGCACCATTGCACTCCAGCCTGGGAGACAGAGAGAGACTCTGTCTCAAAAATAAATTTTTTTAATAAATAATAAAAAATATTTTAAACAAAGAAAATGAAATCTTGTTTGAAGCCTAAATATGTAAAGTTGACAAAACAGAACTGCTCCAATGGGAGGGGCTGGAAGGCCTGGACTTTACTCAGCCCCCACTTCCCTCTGGACCCCTGAGATTCCCTCATGGAACCTTCCAGGGCTCCAAAACACATGGCCAGAAACTGCAGGACTAGGAGACAGTAATCTTTCCATCCAGGGGAACCATCTGGCCCCATTAATTCAAGGACTGGGCCACACTAAAGCACATACTCATGGAGGAAAGGAACTGTGTCTCCTTCTGTCAATGCCCCTTAGCCTCAAACACCAAGTGGGCCTGGGCTGGACACGACACTCATCCTGAGCTGGTGGCAGCTTGATGGAACGCAGGTCATGGCAGGTGTGCACCAGATTCCACGCTGCACATGTGAGGTGGGGGAACACACAGATGAGTGAAGGGAAACCTCTGCCCCGTGACGCCTTGATCCATGTGAGACCACATGTGTGCCTAACTTTTTGTTCTAGACAGAGCTGAGGGCTGGCCAGGCCTGGGACTCATCTGGGACACTGGCGTTTAGAGCATGGGCACTGGGCTAAAATTGCGTGGGTTCAAATCCCAGTTCAGTCTCTTACCAGCTATGGGATCTTAAGCAAGCCATTTAACCCTTTAGCCTCTCTGTAAAATAAAGTTATACCACCTTCCCCGTACAGGCACAGTCAACACTCGTGAGATTTATGTAAAGGCTACAAATAGGGCCTGGCATGAAGGAATTACGTAAACAAGAAATATCTGTCACCATATTCTTGTGGTTGCTGTGGTCAAGCCTTTGTTTATGAGGAACCCGCTATCTGCTCAGCACCAGCCAGGGCTTAGGGCTCACAGACAGCATTCTCTCTCTGTCTCTTTTTTTTTTTTTTTTTTTTGAGATTGAGTCTCACTCTGTCGCCCAGGTTGGAGTGAAGTGGTATGATTTGAGCTCACTGCAACCTCCGCCTCCTGAATTCAAGCAATTCTCCTGCCTCAGCCTCCTGAGTAGCTGAGATTACACGTGCCCACGACTGTGCCTGGCTAATTTTTGTATTTTCAGTAGAGACGGGGTTTTGCCATGTGGGCCAGCCAAGGCTGGTCTCAATCTCCTGATCTCAGGTGATCTGCCCACCTTGGCCTCCCAAAGTGCTAGGATTACAGGTGTGAGCCACTGCACCAGCCTAGCTCTCTCTTGACCCTGGAGGATCCTGTCCAGGCCCTGCAGAGGGCCCTTGGGCCAGCTGGCAGCCAGGCCGACCCTCACTCACCTCGCCACCCTGTAGCAGCACCGTCTGGTTCTTCAGGTCTATCCCCACCACATGGCCCTGCCGGAAGTTGTCCTTAAAAGTCACTGAGTAAGAAATGAAAGTCTTTTTGGCGAATCCTGGGGAAGAGACACAGAAGAGGTCATAGGGCGAAGCTAGGCTGCCCACAGGAAGCCAGAGTGACTCAGAGCCTTTCATGAGCTGCATACCAACAGGGGTGCCCTTGGACAAAGAGTTGGGCCGGCAGGTATGCCTGGGGTCCCCCTGCCTCCTAAAGCACCAATCTGGGCCTCAGACCCTCCGAATAGGTCAAGCTTCTACTTCTAGGGTCTCATTATGGTGGCTACTTAAGACCAAAGACCTTGAGATTCTCCAGAACTCGTCTAATCGTGGAATGTAGGCACTTTGCCCCAAGTGGAGAAAACCACCCCCAGCCCTAAAATTATGCCCCAGAGCAGAGACGAGACCACCTTCACAGAGACAGCCCAGCCAGAGCACACATTACCTCTCTCCACGGAGGCTCGGAGAGCAGCCACATTGTGGTGGAAGGAGTCCTTCATGTCCACCAGCGTGAAGGGGATGTGCAGTGCCTGCAGCTGGCTGGCCGCTGCGATCCCGCCAAAGCCCCCACCCACAATCACCACGTGCAGAGATCCCGATTCCACCGAGACCTGGGACCCCATCTCGAATCAGGCACTGGTGGGAAGGAAGAGGTGAGCACATCAGAGTCAGAGTGGCTGGGAGGGCTGGAGGGCCCACAGTGAGAGAGGCCTCAAATACCATGAATTGACCCTTTTAGATGAGGTAAATCTTTGATTAATGAAACTCCAATTTTATAAAATTTGAATTAAATTCAGAAGGAACAAGGGGGTGCCCACATCCAGCCCCTAAACACCCAGTTCCCTTCTCCAGAGGCACCCCCTGTTACCAAGTTTGGATGACTCCTTCCAGAGATAGTTTATGCACCTATAATCATGATTCATTTTTTCACCTATTAAACAAAGTGTTCTGCACATTTGTTTTTACTTAATATATTTCATCAAAGACTTTTGGGAGAGGTTGCAGTGGGACAGGAGGGAAAAAAAGACTTTTGAAGAGGGGAGTAATTTCACTCAACTACATGTATGAACTGAACTCCTCCTTTTTGACATGCTCTGTGTTGTGGATCCTGTGATCAGACAGGCAGATATGGTCCCTGCCCTTATAAGAGCAGAGCTTGCAAAGTCAAAGAACCAGGTGGACAATGTCAGTGATGTGGGACACTGGGCAGAGGCACAACAACAAGAAACAGTGGGCACACCTGGCGGGAACTGGCAAGCATAGGTCACATCTAAAGGAACAACAAAAAAACACTCTTCAAGCACTGCACTAAGCAAACACTACAACCAGATTTGGCCCAGCTCACAGGTCACCAACTTGCACTCCAGGTCTAAGGAGGCCAATTAGCAGGTTACAACAAGAATCCTGCAAAATTCTGCGGCTAGGGTTTGAGTATGTCTCCCAGAAAGCATCAGTGTTGAGAGGTGCAGCCTAATCAGAGGTGATTGGGTCATGAGGTCTCCACCCTACTGAATGGATTAATGCCAATCATAAAAGGGCCTCTGAGGCTGCAAGTTCATGCTCTTGCTCTCTCTCTTTTGCCTTCCACCATGGGATGACTCAGCATGAAGGCCCTCACCAGACACTGGGCCCTTGATCTTGGACTTCTCAGCCTCCAGAACCATGAGCCAAGGCATTTCTGTTCATTATAATGACCTAGTTTATGGTATTCTGCTGTAGCAGCAGAACACAGACTAAGACAAATGTGGTGTGAACTAAGGCTGTGATAATGGAGTAGGAAGCAGGGGCCACTGGCATGTGCGACAATGCCCAGCTAATTTTTAAACTGCTTGTACAGATGGGGCTGGGTGCAGCAGTTCACACCTGTAATCCCAGCACTTTGGGAGGCTGAGGCAGGAGGATCTTTTGAGCCCAGGAGTTCTAGACCAGCCTGGGTAACAGAGAGAGACTCTGTCTCTCCAAAAAGCAAAAAACAACAACAAAAATTAGCCAGGTGTAGTGATGTGCACCTGTAGTCACAGTTAACTGGGAGGCTGAGGTGAGAAGATAAACTTGAGCCTGGAAGGTCAAGGCTGCACTGTGCCACTGCACTCCAGCCTAGGCCACAGAGTTAGATTCTATCTCAAAAAAATAAAATAATAAAAATAATAAATATTGGTAGAGATGGGGTCTCAAACTCCTGATCTCAGGTGATCTGACTGCCTTGGCCTCCCAAAGTGCTAGGATTACAGGTGTGAGCCACTGCACCAGCCTAGCTGTCTCTTGACCTGAAGGATCTTGCCCAGGCCCTGCAGAGAGCCCTTGAGCCAGCTGGCAGCCAGGCTGGCCCTCACTCACCTCGCCACCCTGCAGCAGCTGGTCTCCCCATGTTGCCCAGTCTGGTGTCAAACTCCTGGGCTCAAGTGATCCTCCCACCTCAACCTCCCAAAGTGCTGGGATTATAGGCAAGAGCCACCATACCCAGCCCCCAATTCTTTGTATAACCTGAAGATGGTATATAAGCTTCTGTGCCTCTTTAGAGGGTTGAGTCTTCCTTCTGAAGGCTCCTGTGTATACACATTGAATAAATTTGTATGCCTTTTATTCAACTCAACAGCCTTGGCCCCTACAGCAGCAGTTGCCTGGGCTCCCCAAGCCAGCCTGGAAGGCTGGTAAACAAGGTCACCTGGTGCATCCTGGAGTCTGCCCTCCTGAGGCTGTATCAGGAGTCTTGTCTCCAGCCCAGCAGAACCCCAAAGAAGGACGCTTGCAGTGCAGGCCTCAGGCAGGCAAAGGGCTGCTGGTGTCAGAGGAGCCACCCAGCCCATTGAGGGGCACTCTTGAGACCCTGAGAGGTGACAGGCAATCAACCCTCCTCCTAGTCTGTGCTGAGCCCTAAAGAGAGGCAGAAATAAGCCAGGCTGCTATGGGCAGCTGCTGAGAAAAGAAGCAAAACTCACACTAAACAGCAGCCAGACAGGCTCAATAGCTGCTGTGGGTTTCAGGAAGGGGGATAGGAGGGGGTGTCAATGAAGGAGGAAGTACTCAAGTACTCTGAGGTCAACCTTGAAGGATAGACATCAAGCCACTGAACAGCCTCATAAGGAAGCGTGTCCCAGCACATCTGGGACCCTCAGGCCACTGGAAGGCCACTGCACTGCTCTGATCATCTGTGCAGGCCTGGGGCACAACCCCTTCCCTCTCTGGGATGCAATTTTCCCCCTATAATGGGAGGATACTATAAGGCCCAACCAGCTATAATATCCTGAGATGTCCTTGTACACACTGGTTTCCAAGACATGGTAGTGGTTCCCCAAGACAGTCCCCAAATCATCCCACATTTATGGGGGCAGCTTTTGGTTAGAACTCCAGGCACTATTCCCATTGGTGTTCAAATGCCCACTGCCTAACTTCTCCCCTGGGGGAAGAAGGTATAGCGGAGGGAGGGTACTGACACAACAGACTGGAGGGGATTTGAAGTCATTTCTCATGGGTCAAATTGTCCCAAAGCATTGAGGCTTGGACATTCTACCCATTTTACAGATGAGAAAGCTGAGCCCTGGCAGTGATAGGACCCAGGACAAACCCCCCAGCAGGCAGGGTCACTTTGGTTCCTCTAAGCCCTCGGAAGGGTTGCCCAGAGCCAATCCCCTGAGCCTACCTTACACTGAATCTGCCAACGGGGCCAGAAGGGAATGAATGTCTCCTGGGGACCAGGACCCAGGAGGGCCTACAGGCCCAGCCAGAGGTAGCAGTGAACACCAGGTGCTGAGCAGGGCCTGAGAATATAGGCAGTGATGAGGCAGGCCCGTGGGTGGCATGTTTCACCAGGCCCAGCAGCGTGGACCCCTCTGTGCCGGTTCCTGCCCTTGGGGCTGTCAGCCATGGATGAGGTCAAGAAAACACTCAGAAAGCCCAACTTCCAAGCTAGCTGGGCATGGCCCCCGAGAGGGGCTACACGGCTTGCTGGGGATAGGGATAGGGGAGTCCCCTGTGTGTCAGGTAACACTGGACCACCCAGCGACACTCAAAGAGAACAGCCTAGAGCCCTGAAAAAGAGCTGAGATCAGGGGCCTTCCAGGCAGAGGTAACAACTTGGGCCAGAGGCCCAGTGGCAGGAAGGGAGGGGGCAGGTGGAGTTCAGGGCACCTGTGACAGAAGGTGAAAAGGCTTGGAGGGCAGGTGACGGGGCCGGCACAGATAGACAGCCTGCCATGCCAGGGCAGCTTTAACAACCAGGTGGACATATAAGCCTCCCCGGGGCCCTTCATGGGGTCTCTTACTCTTCCTAGGTAAGAAAGTCTAGTGACCTCAGAGTGGACCTCAGGGCCAATGAGTTGGCCAAAGGAGCCAAGCCCTTGAACTCCCAGGCCCCTAGGATAATCAACCTGCTTCCTGGAAAGGGCAAATTCTTGCCTCACCCAATGAAGGCGAATTGCTTATCTGGGGTTCCCTGCAAAGGACCTGGGGCCTAAGTGCACACCCAGGCCAGAGCAGGGCCAGGGAGGGGAGGCGCTTTTCCTCTCCATGCTGCCTGAGGCCTGTCCTGCAATCTGCTCTCTTCTCTCTCCTCTGCTGACCCCTGCCACCCTTACTTGTGGAATAGGGAGGCCAGTGACTCTCCAGCGCACTTCACCCTTCCTCTTTGACAGCTACTTGCCCAATACTGTTGGACACGCCAGATCTCCTTGGCTCTGCCAGTGTCGGTTCTTGCCTGGCCCCAGAGGACTGTGAACTCCCCTCTGCTTGGCCATGACCTACTTGGGCAGATACCTAAACTAAGGGCTTAAGGTGGAGCTGCATTTCCAGCCACACACACTGTGGGTGATGGAAATGCACATATAGAATTAGTGGATGTCCAGTTATATGTTCTAACATAGCAGTGATGCTGTGCAAACTTCCATCTGTGTGACACTCCATCAATCAATGCACCAATGAGATACTACAGGACAAACTGTTATAAACCCTACAATGCAATACTATGGAGCCAGCCAGTCGGTTTTAAAGGGTGAGTGATGTTCTGGTTTGTTTTGTTTTGTTTTTTGCGTTTTGCGATGGAGTCTCGCTCTGTTGCCCAGGCTGGAGTGCAGTGGCTCAATCTCGGCTCACTGCAATGTCTGCCTCCTGAGTTCAAGCCATTCTCCTGCCTCAGCCTCCCAAGCAGCTGAAACTACAGGCATGTGTCACCAGGCCCAGCTAATTTTTTTTTTTTTGTATTTTTAGTAGAGACAGGATGCTGTCACCATGTTGGTCAGGCTGCTCTCAAACTCCTGACCTCAAGTGATTGGCCTGCTTTGGCCTCCCAAAGTGCTGGGATTACAGGTGTGAGCCACTGTGCCCAGCCTGTGAATGTTGTTTTTATACAAAAAGTCTGTCTGTGAAAAAGTCAGTCAAGGGCTGGGTGTGGTGGCTCCTGCCTATAATCCTAGCACTTTGGGAGACCAAGGCAGGAGGACTGCTTGAACCCAGGAGTTTGAGGCTGCTGTGAGCTATGATCGCACCATTGCACTCCAGCCTGGGCAACAATGTGAGACCCTGTCAAAAAGGAAAGAAGAGAGAGAGAGAGAAAAGAAAGAAAAAGGAAGGAAGGAAGGAAGGAAGGAAGGAAGGAAGGAAGGAAGGAAGGAAGGAAGGAAGGAAAGAAAAGAGACAAGAAAAGAAAAAGTCAGGCAGTATTTATTTACTATTTTTAATTTTCTTAGGAACAGGGTCTTACTCTATCACCCAGGCCAGAGTGCAGTGGCATGATCATAACTCATTATAACCTTGAACTCTCGGGCTGGCTATTTCTTTTTTTAATTTTTTGTAGAGATGAGGGTAGTGATCTGCGTAACAAGATCACTATGTTACCCAGGCTGATCTTGAATTCCTAGCCCCTCAAAGGATCATCCTGCCTTAGCCTCCCAAAGCACTGTAATTACAGGTGTGACGCACTGTGATTTTGAGTTGTGGAAAAGATTCAATGAGATCATTTATGTAAAGGGTTTTCAGCATGGTGCCTGGTGCACAGTAGCAGTGAATACACAGCAGCCATTTATTATATATATTTTATACTGGAGATTAGTTTGCCTGGTCCCAAAAAGTCAGGCCACAGAACTGCATGTAAAACCTAATCCCATTTATTGGCAGTAAGACACATGCACCTTGGCATGTATACACATATACATGTAATGATTACGGCAGTTAGCACTTGCTGCACTTTTACCCGTATCTTCTCATTTAACATGCGAGTTTTTTCTCCTTATTTTGGAAAAAAGTTCAAAAACTTGCCGAAGTTCAATTCTCAACACATCAAACCTGTTCTCTGAACCAGAATGTTAATAGCGATCATAGATGATGTTTTTATTTTCTTCCTTAAGCTCTTGTATTGTTTGAATTGTTTCCAACAAGTTATATCATTTTTACAGAAATAAGTCTTTTAAAACGGGACAGTCGGCTCATCGTCTAATTTTTTTAATCAAAATAGAATTCACATATACAATTTACCACTTAAGATGTAAGTTCACAATGAGCTATGATTGCACCACTGCACTTCAGCCTAGGCAAGACCCCGTCTTTAAAAAAAAAAAAAATGAGATGCAGGCTGGCTCAGAGCTGTAATCCCAACATCTTGGGAGGCCAAGGCAAGCAGATTGCTTGAGCTCCAGAGTTCAAGAGCAACCTGGGCAACATGGTAAAACCCATCTCTACAAAAAAATACAAAAAATTAGCCAGGCATGGTGGCTCATGCCTGTGGTCCCGGCTACTCAGGAGGCTGAGGTGGGAGGATCGCTTGAGCCTAGGAGGTAGAGGTTACAATGAGCCATGATCTGCCACTGCACTCCAGCCTGGGTGCCAGAGCAAGACTCTGTCTCAAAAGAAAAAAAAATTTTTTAATCTAGAATTTAAAAAAAGAGATGTAAGTTCCATGGGTTTTCGGGTATTCGCCGGGTTGTGCAACCGTCACAATTATCTAATTCCAGAACACTTCTATCACCCACAAAATAAACCCTGCAGCCCAGCACCCTAACCCTGTTCTTCCTGCCTCTTCAAGACAATTCATGTAAATGGAATTATATACTATGTGGCTTTTTTCACTGATCACAATGTGTTCAGGTTCATCTGAGCTGTAGCATATATCAGTCTTCATTTCTTTTTATGGCTGAATAACAGCCCATTATTGGTCTCATAGACTGTAATTAAGAACTTGGGTTGTTTCTACTTTTTGACTAGATGAATAATGCCACTATGAACATCTATGTACAGGTTTTTGTGTGATCCAGTCTTTAACCCTCTTTAGTATATACCTAGGTTTGGAACTGCTGGGTCATATGGTAACTCAAAGTTTAACTTTTTGAGGAACTGCCAAATCCACCATCTGATTTTGAACTGAATGCCAAACCCCCAGTGGGAATCACAGAGAATCTTAACTACGTCTGTCTAGGTTCAGGAATGTCAGCCTAAAAGAAGGCCTAAGCGAACAGAACAAACTAAGTTGTTGATTGTCCAGCAACTCCTCAGTAACTTTACCTTTGCTCGCTCCCACAACACACACACGCACACACACAAAATCTGATTTACACAAAAATTTGCTCATTCATCCTGTTTTCTCTGCCAGGAGCATCCATCCTGATCCCAGGTATTCTTCTTCCACAATAAGCAGCCCATAGGACGCTACTGAAAAACCAGGAAGTCACATGTATGCCAAAGCTGTTGAGAGGTCGTGCCTCAGAAGACACACAACGGGAACCATGTGGGCTCTGATCAAAGCAAGAATGTCATCCCACAGTTGCTCCGGTTATTGCTTCACAGAGATTACAAAAAAAACACGATGCTTTTTGAGTCATCATGGTTCACGCAGAGGGTAGGTTTCTACATCAGCCTCTGGGAAGCCACGTTCCCAGAGTGGCTGTCCCAGATGAGAAGGCCACTAAGACACGATTCACAGAGCCATGGACGTTCCCTCCACCTGGGGAACAGAGCAGGATGGAGAGGGTTGGGAGGCCTCCCTCCCTAGGATACTCCCTGGCCAGCCCCTCAGGGACTACTTGAAGAAATAACCCCCAAAACACCAATTTCTGAAAAGGGACTCAAAGCCTGAAGGGAGGCAACCTCCTTTTATTCCTAGGAGAGGGCAGCTCTGGAGCAGACAGGTTCATTTGGATGTCATATTCACTCCTGCACAGAAAACCTTGGCCAAGCAACTTGTCCATCTCATCTCATCTGTTACTTAGCGGTCCCCATGGTCTACCCACCACCTGCACCTGGATGCTGGCTTCACTTAATCACCAGACAAAAGCCAGGCTGGCCCTGGAGTCCATCAGCCTGCCCAGCCCATCACTTCTGGGCTGGATAGTTCTGAGCAAGGCACACCCTGGCTGGGGTCCAGTGTCCTACTTGGCGACACATTGGACTCCTTGGAGAACTCCTCTCTAGGTGCTGGGGTGAGGGAGGTGGGATCTGAGGTCCGGGGGCTCTCTGGCAGGTGTATGCACGCACACTGGAACCGGATACTGGCTTTTGAACACAAGTGCAGAGTCCGAAAACCTGGAAGTCCCATCCCAAACTATGTCTGACCCTCTGCCTAAGCCTGTCCTCCTACAGAAGCATCAGCTCCCAAGAGACCTTCCCCCTACCCACCCTCACCGTAAATTCCAGGGTCAAAAAGACTCTCATTGTAGGGAAAGGCAGGGTGTGTTGATCAGGTGGTGGTGGATTCCGTTCCAGGTCGACTGCACGCGTCCCATCAGAGTTAGTTTACCTACCCCTGGTCCTTGTCCCTGCAGCACCCAGGGCTTCAGGAGGGGAGAAGCAGACCTCCTAGTGCACCCCCCGAGCCTGTGGGCACTGGTGTAACTCCAATCCCTTTCCTCTTGGAGGCTGAGATTTCTCTCAGCCCTCTCACACCTGCTTCTGTCCGGACCGGCAGCTTCTACCCAGCGGACCCTCGGAGGGTCCTCGCAGGATCCGAGTTACACCTGCCCCACGTTCCCTCTTCGCCGGTTGGCCCTTTCCTGCCTAAGCCCATCTTCCTTAGGAAAATTTAGCAGGGATTTAGGGGCCAAACGAGGGCTCCTGTCCTCAGCCAGGCGCAAATTTCCCTGTTGCGTTTTCTGCGGGGCACGGAGAGGGACGGGCCTGAGCCGAGTATCCCACTCCTAGCAGCTCCACAACCTCGCGCACCGAACTCCCATGCCGGATGCGGCGTGCGCCCGGCCCCCGATCCGCGCGCCCCTCTTCCGGGTCCTCGTCCCGTCTGGGGCGCCCGGGGTGTGGAGAGCCCGCCCGGCGGCGTGACCTCACCTGCCGTTGAGGCACGCTCGCTCCCTCTCCCGCTTCGACTCCGGCCGCTGCTTCCGCTCCCGCTCCCGCTTTGTCGTCTTCCGGAGCTGCCGTCCGGAGGCGCTCCCGGGCGGGGTGTGACTCAGCACTTGCGCCGGCCCCAGTCCCCGCGGCAATGCCCTGGCCGGGCCCCGGAAACGGTCCTGGCACGACGGAGCTGGTCCCCGAACGCCCGCCGGACTGACCTTGACCCCGAGCGAACGGCCTCGAACTTTCAAACAAATCCTCCCAGGGCCAGATGTCGCCTCTCCGGTGCCTGCCAGCACCCGCGCCCCAGCCCTGCCCGAGACACTCAGACTTGGCTCAAAGTGTCCTTTCAAAATATTTGAAAGCAAAAAGAGAGAGAAAGGAAGAAAAGAAAGTGAGGGAGGGAAGAAAGGAAGGAAAACAAGTGTCCCCCTGTCCCTCTGACTTTCTCGAAGACAGCTTTAAAGCCACTGGGACCTTAGAGAGCGAGGCTACCCTCACACCTTGGGCACACTGCCAGCCTCCTTCCTTCAGATATACACGTGATAATTCCGCAAACCCTGTTGAGCTCCTATGTTTGCCAGGCACTGTGCGAGGTGTTGCGGGGATAACGTGGAGGCAAAACAGACAAGTTTCCTGCTTTCCGGGAGGCGACAGTCTGGGAAAAGACAGATGTTAAACACACCACCAAAACACAGATGTATAGAAAAAACAAAAACCACATTATCAGCAACTGCAGTAAGAAACATCGGGCATGGCCAGGCACCGTGGCTCCTGCCTATAGTCCCAGCATTTTGGAAGGCCAAGGCGGAGGATAGCTTGAGCCCAGGAGTTGGAGACCAGCCTGGACAACAAGTGAGACCTACAAAAATTAGCTGGGCATGATGACGCACACCTGCAGTCCCAGGTTCTCGGAAACCTGAAGTGGGAGGATTGCTTGAGTCCAGGAGTTTAAGGCTGCACTGAACCATGATCATGCCACTGCACTCCAGCCTGGGTGACAGCGAGATTCAGTCTCAATAATAATAATAAATGAAATGAAAATAAAAAATAAAAACAGACTGGGGACAAAGGAAGGGTGCAAATACCTCTCTTCAAAGATGAGAGTTAGATTTAGGTAAAGAGGAAAGAAGTGTGGTCTGAATGTGCAAAGACCCACAGGCAGAATAAAGACCTGGAAGGCAGTGTATTGCCATCTCAAATCAGATCAAGCTAACTCAGTGAAAGATAAGCCATCTCCATCTACTTACTGCAAATATTAGCACTTACCTTAAGAGTTGCGGATAAGGGCCAGGCACAGTGGTTCACATCTGTAATCCCAGCACTTTGGGAGGCCAAGACAGGCAAATCACCTGAGGTCAGGAGTTTGATACCAGCCTGGCCAACATGGTGAAACCCTGTCTCTACGAAAAACATTAGGCTAGCATGGTCGCACGTGCCTGTAGTCCCAGGTACTCAGGAGGCTGAGGCAGGAAAATCACTTGAACCTGGGAGGCAGAGGTTGCAGTGAGTTGAGGTCATGCCATTGCACTCCAGCCAGCCTGGGCAACAAAAGCAAAACACCGTCTCAAAAAAAAAAAAAAAAGAGAGAGAGAGAGATGTGGAAAAGTCTCAATGTAGATCATTTATATAAAGTGTTTTAGTATGATGCCTAGCACACAGTAGCAATGAATACACAGCAACCAGTTATTATAGATATTTTATATTGCAGATTAGTTTCCCCAAGCAACCAGAATGATTTATTTCTGATGAAAAATCTTACTCATAGTCTTAGAAAAATAATAAGCTAATATTTACTGATCAGGAACTAAGTTCTTTGAATGCCTTCTCAAGTTGTTTTTTTGTTTTTTGGCTTTTTTTTTTCCACAGAAGTCCTGCAAGGTGAGTTTTACTAATTTCCATTTTGCAGATGAGGAAATTTAGGCTCCCATAGGCTAAAGAATTTAGGTAAGGTCCCTCAGATAGTAAAGCATGGGGGTGGGCCTACAATGGAGGTCTGAACCATGACCCCTTTTTTGGGGATGGGGGGAAAAAGAATCTCACTCTGTTGCCCAGGCTGGAGAGCAGTGGCATGATCTCAGCTCACTGCAACCTCCACCTTCCAGGCTCAAGAGATTCTCATGCCTCAGCCTCCCAAGCAGCTGTAATTACAGGCACCTGCCACCATGCCTGGCTATAGTAGAGACAGGGTTTCACCATGTTGGCCAGGCTGGTCTCGAACTCCTGACCTCAAGTGATCTGCCCACCTCGGCCTCCTAAAGTGCTGGGATTACAGGTGTGAGCCACTACACCTGGCCTGAACCATGACCTTAAAGCCAGGAAACCCCTCAGCGGGCATCATCCCTAAGGAGCCAGAGGGCACTGCTCAGTAAAAGCAGAATCTCAGTTGTGGGAAATTTACTGGGCATGTACCCAGTAACATGTGACACAGAGAGGCTACAGCCTGCCCAGTGCAGGGAATTGGCCTGGTGCTTGGGGAGGTCATGGAAGGCTTTGTGTAGGAGCTAGGTATGCAAGGATGAAGGGGATTCCAGCTGGCAGGATGCAAGGAGAGGACTCCAGAAAGAGCAGGACAAAGGTAAAGCTGGAAGGGAGAAGAAAGAGATATGCAAGGTGGTCCAACACTGGGCTGGAGCATGTCAGGGCTACTGTGGCCCATCTCTAAGGACCTGTCCCAAACCATGAAAATCTTTCTTTTCCACCTCCCTCCCCAACCCTCGCCCCCCCGCCGCCTCGCCCCGCCTCAAGACCTGCTACAAAGTAACAAACCATGAAAACCAAGTAGTTTTTCTGATTATCACCCAACAATTTCTTAGTAACCAGAAGACACCTCCAACCAAAAGACATCTCCATACAGGGTCTCATGCAACCCCTCCAGGCAGCTCATCACTCATCACTCCTCTGGTCCCACGCAGCAGTGCCCATAGCTTTGGAACTGATAATCAAAGCTTGCTGCCTAACAAAGGGCTTTTGTGTCTCAATTTCCAAGTGCCAGAGGTAGCAGCAAAGTGTGGTGGTTAGGATGCTGAAACAGTGGCAAGTCCATTCCAGGGAACTTTGATAGTTAGTGGGGACAGCAGGCAGATTGTTGAACATGACAGAATCTAAGAGGAGGAAGAGTTGCTGGCTGGCTGCTGTAATGAGCTCAGCCAGGCCTGAGGGCACTTCCTTCCAGACAACAGGTAGCTTTCCTGCTGGCTCCCAGGGCTGGAGGAGCTCCAAGGTACTGGGGTCACCTCAGGAACCCAGAGAAACAGAGGCAGTATCCCCACATAAAGAACAGGCAACTCTTAGATCTGAAGAGCCCGGTAAATGTTCTCCTTTTCCATATGTAGTTCCAGGTAAATTTGTAAGCTTCAAAGAGAGGAATATCCTCGTTTCTTCTTCTCACCCCCAACACATGGTTTGATATAGTGCTCCCAGATATCAGTGAAGGTAAGTTCTGCCGCTATGACCCGTAGACTCCAAATGTAATGGCTCAAATACAACAGAATCGTGTTGCTCACTAGGGCATCAGTTCCAGGCCAGTGGACTGGTTGATAAGGCTGTCTTCCTCCACATAGCCATCCAGGGACCAGGCTAACAGGACATGGCAAGTGGGTACCATACATGGTCCCAAATTAGATTTTTTTCTTTTTTAGAGACAGGGTCTCCCTTTACCCTGGCTGGAGTGTGGTGGCATGATCATAGCTCACTGCAGCCTCAAACTCCCATGCTCAAGCCATCCTCCCACCTCAGCCTCCCAAGTAGCTGGGACCACAGGTGTGCACCACTATTCCTGGCTAATTTTTTGTATTTTTTTTTTAAGAGACAGGGTCTTGCTATGTTGCCTAGGCTGGTCTCAAACTCCTGGGTTCAAGCTTCCCAAAGTGCTGGGATTACATGCATGAGACCCAGCACCTGGTCTCAAATTAGGGAGCTCGTCAGTTCTACCTCCTGTGTTGTCACTTGATCTCCCCACACCCACCAGTCCTGCCTCAGCCATCCTCTCTCTCACCAAGGTCACTGAAGCTGGTCCCTGGGCCTGCCTTGCACTTTTCCAGTTTTCTCTCCACTTAGCACTCATAAAACAAGCAAGTTGTGCCACACTTCCTTGTCCCAGTTCCTGCCACTCTCAGCCTGGAACACTCTCCCTGTTTCCAGTCCACTTGGTAAACTCTGAGCTCTCTTTTCATGGTTCGGAGCCTGAATCACCTTGATGAAGCCTTACCTGACCCACCCCTGCTGGGCCCCCAGACATATTCTTCCCTGGACAGAGCTTCCCTGCTCATTGCACTAATGGGTTGACACATCAACCTCCCCAGAGGAGCCTGTGGGTGCCTTGGTACCTGTATTAGTCCGTTTTCATGCTGCTGATAAAGACATACCTGAGACTGGGATGAAAAAGAGGCTTAATGGGCTTATAGTTCCACATGGCTGCAGAGGCCTCCCAATCATGGCGGAAGGCAAGGATGAGCAAGTCACATCTTACATAAATGGCAGCAAGGAAGAGAGAGAGTGTGCTTGTGCAGGGAAACTCCCGCTTTTAAAGCCATCACATCTGTGAGACATACTCACTATCATAAGAACAGCACAGGGAAAACCCAGCCCTACAATTGAATTACCTCCCACTGGGTTCCTCCCATGATGTGGGAATGCTGGGAGTTAGAATCCACAATAAGATTTGGGTGGGGACACAGCCAAACCATACCAGTGCCCACATGTGCTAGAATAAATACCCTCCTCAGATCTGGGGCTCTGCTACCTTTAACTTACTGTAGAACTTCTCTTAAACTAGCCATGCCCTCTGGACCCATTCCTGATCTGTAAAGGGAAAAACAACCACCCCAGGAGTGGTCTGTGATTGCCCTGTGTTTTAGGAAAAACTCTCCTCAAATTGTGTTTTTACTCGTAGGCCATCACAATCAACACAGAAGACTTCAGTGCCTAAACATGTGTGGGGTTTCCCCACCAACAAGCAGTGGACATCAGCTGGGTGTCCTTTAATTCAGTTCCAACATTATCTACCCAGAGACATTGTCAAATCCCACAGGTCGAGGGTTCAGTCTCCAAGACTGCCCCCCTCAACCACACCAGGCACAAGTCTGGGTCTCCAGAACTTCTGACCAACTGGTTTCAAGTTGAGGTCCCACAGCCTCCTCTTTGGGTTAAATTTGCTTGAGTGGATCACAGAACTCAGATGCCACTTATTTATGGTTACCAGTTTATTATAAGGATATCGCAAAGGGCACAGATGAAGAGATGCACATAAGGCAAGGTACAAGGGAAGGGGAAGTGGTGTGGAGCTTCCACGTCCTCCCTGGGCACCTCACACTCCAGGAACCACCAAGTGTTCAGCCATCTGGAAGCTCTCTGAACCCTGTCCTCATGACATCAGCATTCCTTCTCCCGAGATTGGGACCCTCTCATGGGAAGGTCTTTAGGACCCACCGTAAACAGGTGGGCAAACATTAGTGAAAGGATGGCCAGAGGTGGGAGGCCTGCCCCTGAGCCCTAACGTACCCAATATTCTAACCAAAGACTAGAACAAGGGCTATGGGAGTTACGAGTCAGGAACCCTGGATGGAAACCAATATATATTGTATCACCACACCCAGCACACAGGTGTTGGAAGAAAAGGACTCCTAGGCATGCTCCCTGCGTGGGCACTGCCCCTAGCTGCCCCTCCCAGGGCTTTCAGCCTGCCAGTGGAGATCATTCTTCAGGGCCTGCACATGCAGGGTCCTGGGCACACTGCACATTCCTCAGAGTTGGACTCAGCTCCTGGGGGTTGCCCTGGCCTCATTCACCCTTGAACTTCCCAGCTCCCACCCACCCCAGGCATTATTTAAGCACCTGCTGCCAGGCCAAGACCACCACCTTCTGGGACCTGCAAGCCCCATCCAGCTGTGACTGACACATGACCAGCTATGAGGGCCAGCCTGGCAGGAGAGTATCCCATGAGCACCAACGCTGCTGAGAAAATAGCACAGACGGGTGCATTTC